GAAAAGCACAGCTTTGAACATCAGGCTAGAGAAACAGATTTTTCAATATTTTATGTGACATGATACAACATCAGCTAAGGACAAGGAAACACAGGCTTTGCTTACATGGCAGCTGACAGTAACTAAAAAAGGAGGGGAAACAGCTTGCACTTTATTGGTTTATGGGGTCCGTGCTGCTTTTACATCTAACTGCTTATTCCTTGAGAAGAAAATCTGATATTTACAAAGCAATGAGTCACCCCATACCAGAGAGTTGTTCCCAGAATATGTATCCTGGCCTTTGTGTTTTGCTGTCTTATGCCTAGGGACACCCTGACAGGGCCTAATTCCCTAAAACTTAAAAAGATGTATCTGAGAGACTGGCAAGAGTTGGATCCAAACTACCACAGGGTGCACAAATCTACCCAGATAAATGTCACAAATTGTCAGATAATATATGGAAAATGATTGCATTGACTGCTGCTCTTAAGAAATAAAGTTATAACCCAATAATAAACCCACAACTTTAAAAAAGTGAAAACATATATTATCTTACAGTTTATTATATTTAAGTGGGTAGATTTGTGCCCACCTTAAGTTATGAATGCCTGTTGTCTTCCTTTTTAAAAAAGCTGCCTCTCTCATGGATACAGTGGCACCTTGGGTTAAGTACTTAATTTGTTCTGGAGGTTCGTTCTTAACCTGAAACTGTTCTTAACCTGAAGTAGCACTTTAGCTAGTGGGGCCTCCCGCTGCCGCCATGCTGCTGCCACACTATTTCTGTTCTCAACCTGAAGCAAAGTTCTTAACCCGAGGTACTATATCTGGGTTAGCGGAGTATGTAACCTGAAGCATCTGTAACCTGAAGCGTCTATAACCCAAGGTACCACTGTAGTTGCATTACGTAGTGTGCAGGACGTAGTGTGGTGCCCTTTCCTGCCCCTAAAAACAAGCAAATAGAAAATAAGCCCCTAACCCGGTGTTTTTACTTTTATCCCACTCATCTTCTAAGAAGATCAGGGGTGGTGTATGTTATGTATGCATGCAATACTGGCCTAGGCCTTCAAGCCTCTTGGAGGCTCAGGAGCTTCATCTGCATAACAAAAGACAGAGAGGATTCTAAAACCCTCCAATGGCATTGTTAGTAGCTGACAGGCTGCCAGTCCCTGCTGAGATAAGGCCAATGTTGTGATTCGCTAATTGCAGCATTAAGGCGACCTATCACAGTTCTAGCATGCCCAAAAGTGCAAGTAGATAAATAGGTACCACTCCGGTGGGAAAGTAAATGGTGTTTCCGTGTGCTGCTCTGGTTTTGCCAGAAGCAGTTTAGTCATGCTGGCCACATCACCCGGAAAAACTGTCTGCGGACAAACGCTGACTCCCTCAGCCTGTAAAGTGAGATGAGCACTGCAACCCCAGGGTCATCTGCGACTGGACTTAACTGTCAGGGGTATCTTTACCTTTATCACAGGAAATGTGCGTGTTTTGCCTGGGCCAGCTTAAGGTATATATACTGGGCCAAGTGCCCCTGTTTGTCATTCTTGTTCTTCTTGTTCCTGATGTTCCAATAAATCCCTTTTGAGCTGAATCTCAGCCTTGGATCATGCCTGAACCCACCTACAGTTCAATGTACATGACACTTCTCTTCAGATTATCCTCACAACGATCATGGTTATCCTCACAACACACTGGCAATAGGACCGCAACCTCCACCACACTTGTATGCAGTAGGGTATCTTTGAAGGCAGCACACAACAGTTCTATTATCCAATACTGGCACTTCCTGCCCTCCATCTCATGCCTGACCTGCTGCCTGAGGCAAGTACCTCACTGCCAGTATGGCCCTGCATCAGGGTGAGGCTGAAAGTACAGCACAGCTGCTGCGTGAAATGGCATTGCCCTGCACACAAATAACATTTACAAAGAGGTAAGAGATGAAGGAAAGCTTATTTCTATTGCAGCAAAGTCTCGCTACATTGTGCATGCCCATCTATCTTCTCCAGGCATGCTGGGCAGCCTTTATTGTGGAGCACACTCAAGAGCCTCCCTGGATACCTCTGGCCAATGTTTTATATATTTTCTTGGGGATAGGCTCAGTGAGAAAATATTCAGTAAGACAATTTAAATAACAATTAGAAACACAGAGAGAGAAACGACTACAACTGATAAAAAAACCAATTAAAAAGTGGTGGATCAGTGATTAAGAACTCAAATCAGGGAAGTGGAAATCCTATATTAAAAAAAAGAGTGGAAGACTAATAGAGAGGGGGCGAAAAAGGTCTCCCAATCAAGGGAATACAACAATTTCGGTGATTATGTTATTTTACGTACATTTGTGTTTTGGTCATCCTCTAAGGAATTAGGGCAGAGTAGGACATCTTTACAACTCTGTGGGCTAAGCTGAGAGATACTAATTTGCCACAGACCACCCTATGAGCTACATAGTTGAACCAAGAATTTTAACCTTGTTTATATAGGTTTCCTGGCTCCATGTCTTATCTAATTAAAACATTTCTTGCCAAAGCAATCCCAGAGTGCATTACATTAAAATCCAATACATAATACACATTAAAACAAAACAGAAAGGGGAAAAATGCAACTTTAAAAATAAAACAACTATGCTGCAATCCTTGCATAAAAACCTTGGGTGAATAAGTAGGTCTGCAACTGGCACTGAAAACTCATAAGAGTTAGCATCAGCTGTATCTGAGAAGGTAAGGAATAAACAAGGTGCCAGTACCAAGAAGGTTGTCTTGTTTGTTGCCACTTGGTGAATTTCACTTAACTGTGGCAGTAAGAGGGTCTTCCTCATAAAGAAGATGCTTTGTTAGATATCTAGGTCCCAATCTATATAGGGCTTTATACTGTATGTCAATGCAAGATCCCACAACTTGGCCTGGTGTGGTATGTTCACAATCAGCAAATGACAGCCTAGCCATGGAATTCTACACTAGCTGCAGCTTCTGAACAAATCTCAAAGGTTACCCAACCACTGTGGCCAGGTAATGCCTGTCTAGGAACATCCATAACTACCTTACAAGCCAACCCCAGTCACTTGCACCTTCAACGACAGTGATGGATCTAAGAGCACCACCCATTCTTTCAGAGGGAATGCAAGCCCATTCAGAACTAGAAGAATGCCTAATTCCTGAACCCTAGATTTGTCAGTCCATAGAGCCCCACCTTGTCAGGATTCAGTCTCAACTTATTGGTGCTCACTCAGCACACAACTGCATTTTGTTATGAAAACCATCTGGAAGCCCATGGGAAGGCACAACTTCGAGGGATCTAGTAGGGATCTAGGGAAGTCACATTATAGCTTTACGGCTAACAAATTCTCCCTTGGGGAAGCTGGGAGATGAGATATATTTTGAGAACAGAAAGCATACAGTACTCCCTCAAAGCAAAAATTGTACTAGTAGATGCACTACGGAGCGGGTCAGAGTTTGAAAGGAAGGGGAAAGGGTATGATGTAATGATTGAAGGTGTGCTGCCCCGCTGCTCAGGGTCTGCAACCCGTGGCTCCGGAGCCGCATGTGGCTCTTTTACACCTTTGCCGTGGCTCCGGGGCGGATACTAGCGAGGGGAGGAGGCGCATTGTGCGCCCCGACACTCCCCACTGTGGCGGGCGCTGTACTGGCTGTGACGTCGCATGGGGGTGGTGCGTGCGTTAGCCACACACCGTCCCGACGTCACCTTCCCGCCCGCTGTCAGATCGCGGCTCCGGAGGTATATTTGTTTTAAATGTTGCAATGGTTTTGCGGCTCCCAGGTTTTTTTTTCCTTCGGAAACGGGTCCAAGTGGCTCTTTTTGTCTTAAAGGTTGCAGACTCCTGCCTTATACCGTAGAAAAACATGGCTGGAAAACACAACAGATACGTACAAAAACAGACAAAGTGTTCCTCTCATTAAGAAATCAGTACTATACTGTGACTCCTTAATGGCTTCCCAATAGCCTTTGTCTGCTTTTGTACTATATTTCAAGGAGTTTGAAACAAGGAGTTTGTTTTTAGTCATCACTTGTAGGTGACATAACTGAGTGTAACATAGCTGAGTTACTCTACATTGTTAATGCTCAATGAATCCTGTTTGCAAAGGAGTGTGTGTTCCATCTCAAGGCTAAGTGAGACCAGCCCCTCTTCCCTTGTGCCTTAAACTATGGAAGAAGTTGCTGCTGGGACTGTGCTGGTGCAGAACCCCCTTCCTAGAGGGATTATGTCAGCTTGTACTGGGCTGGGGCTTATCAGCCATTTCGGATAAACTGTTTTTGAATTGTTATGGTTTTGGTATTAAACTGCATCATTTTTTATTGGATTGCTTCCCCCCCCCCACTAATACGCTATGTGCTTTTTGATAGGATTATATTGATGAAAGTGTTTTTGTTTGCTAATGTGTTCTTATTGTTGTCATCAGCTTTGAAATCAACATTGATGCTGGAAAAGAGACATATAGATAATAAATCAAGTCAAATCCACACTTACTGGAGCATAGCAATTGCTTGAAAATAAAAGCCTTACAGGGCAAGGTAATTATGTGTACCAGCTCTTCACTTAGATTGGGAAATGCTCTCTATTCCAAATCAAAACCAGAAAGGTTGTATTGGCAAGAGTGAAAACTGGGGAAACCATGGAGGATCTCCAGGGTTCAACATGAATTTCTCTAAACACTTACATTTCAAGAAGCCTTTGTTGCCTGGAACTAGGTTTTAGTAGTGTGTCAATAATGAGTATTGTTTTGTTTTGTACAAATGTTGATCCTTGTGCAGATGCAACATAGATGTCACTTGTTTTATCCCACCTCATAAGCAGCTTCACTAAAACATGACATAAACCTGTGTCAATCTTGGTGCAATAGAATCCACACTGATAGAATTATAGTCATGTTACAGATGATGGCAGAGTGAAGGAGCATTAAATCCCTTTAAAACATGCTTAAATTGCTGGCATTTTGAAAATGGATATTGAAATATACGTTGTCATGAAAATCATAGGTCCAAACTCTAGTCGCATATACAAATCCTACCTGAACATGTCCCCCAGGCCTTTGAGCATTCCTTTCTTGGCTTTAATTTTATCCTTTTCTTTATCTCGATCTTTCTTCTTGTCCTTCCCAATTTTTTTCCGGTCTCCTTTATCTTGACTGCCATTCATGTGTCTTTCCAGCGAATGGGATGGCTGGTCACTCGATGTAGAGACAGATTCTCTACCCGATCGTGAGCTTTCCTCAGTATCTTCCTCCACTGAAAGAGTAAGGTAATTTTAGTAGGGGCTGGGGGGGAGATTAAAAAAAAAATTATCTGCTGTGATTCAAGACAAATAGAGTTGAACAGCCGTTATCCGTTCATCCAGAATGAACAGCCACTACACTCCAGTAAACCACCCAGGTGGTAAACTGCATGACTTTCTCTGCTTGTATCTGGAAAGCTCCACACATGGGGTCCATGAAACTGCACATATTTTACTGTACAAGGTGAGGTTTTTGGTTTAACTTGCTTGCTCAATATTCTGATCGCTTAATAAGCCAAGAAATGAATGAGTCTTTTGGATAAATATACATAGCTCATTTGATCCTCCCTTGGCCCAAGTAGGCAAGCTAGCAAACTAGAGAGTCCTCCATTGACTATAGTTTGCTATTTCATGCTAACCATGAAAATATGCTTAATTGCTTCACAGCAAGCCAGGATATTAAACCATGGTTTGAAGCTGACTTAATATCCTGGCTTGTTCCAAAGCTGTTAATCATAGCAAACAAAGTGCAATGGAATACCTTGGTTTGCTTGCTCCCCCAAGCAAAGGGGCTGGGCTTTATGTCCAAAAGACCAATTAATATCTAATATTATTAAGACAAGATATGCTAATCTGAACATGGTCTATATCTTTATTGACAGTTGAGTTTACAATGTTATCCACTATGTACATTTACAACATAATTCTCCATTTTAACCTTGAATATTGGCTCATTCTTCACACCCATTTTCAGGAGAAAACGAAGGATGCAAAATTTTTCTTAATGCAACATACACCTTGAAGACTGAGATATTGAAATGAAAGATGAGCATGTTCATATTCAAGGCACAATCCTACATTTCAAGTTCAAACACCAACTCAGTCCCACACTGGCTTTCATTTAGGCTGGTGAATAAGTAAAACATACCGTAATACTATATCACCCTTGGGCACTGAGGTATCACAGTGATTATCAAAGATAGAGCAAGGCTGAGAAAAAGATGCAATATGCAATATCTGAAGTGAGGACTCAAGGACATTGTGCTTTAAGGCAATGTTAAAAATACAAATTAATTAAAACTAATTTATAATACTTGACATTCAACAAGGATAATGATAATAATAATAATGCTGTTTAATTGCTTATTGAAGTATTTCTATGCACATTTCCCTTCCTATTAAAAACAATCAATCACACCTCGTGCAATTCACATTATTTATATACTGAATATTCAAAACTTGTGATCCTCATCAGTTACCTCAGCTTTGCCAATACATTAGCGAAAAATTGCAAACATGTTCTAAGACAGTATGCTTCTGAATATCACTTGCTCATATTTTACTAGTCTGCCTTTTATTGTATTGCATCACATTGCTTTTAGGGATGTAGACCTCACACTCCAACAACATTTTCCAGTAGCTTTCCAGAGCATCTTGTTGGTTACTATGGGAAATAAGATGCTGGACTAAGATGGACCTTCAGCCTACTCCAGCAGGAACACACTCATTCAGTAGGTTTGGACTTCCCTGCTGCTTTGCAATTAATTTCATACAATCTCTAATATAACTTCATTTCTACAATTCCCATGCAACAACAGAACTTTCAACTGCTTTCAAAGAGCCCAGATCAGGGATCAAAGGACTCAGGGCTTCCTTCTCACACTGCCCTCCCCAAACTGCTTTGCGAGGTTGGGGTCTGCCAGCAACTGAAATAATTTACCGTATTTTTCGCTCTATAACACGCACCTGACCATAACACGCACATTGTTTTTAGAGGAGGAAAACAAGGGAAAAAACATTCTGAATGAAACAGTGGATGTATCATTTTTGTGCTTCATGCTGTGGCCACAGACATGTGATCTGATGGTGAATTTGGGGTGACCCAATGCAAAGATCCTGAGGATCCATGTGGATCTATGCTTTGTAACCACATTTTAAGTGGGGAGGGAAGGAAAAACAAAGAAGGGAAAAGGAGCATGAGAGGGGTGTGCAGAGAAGCAGCTGGCTAAGAATGCAGGAGAGGGATTTAATGGGAGGGAGGAAAGAAAGGCAAAAGTTTCCCCCCACCCAAGCACCCAAACCAGCCAGCGCGCTCTCTCTCTCTCTCTCTCTCTCTCTCTCTCTCCCTCCCCCACCTGCATGTTGCCTGCTAGTCCCTAGACGCAGCACCGGAGCACAGAGAGGAATTAGAAGGAACGACTGCTTTCCCCTCTGCTTGCCTGGAGGGGAGGGGCTTTCCCTGCTCTTTGTTCCGTTTGAGCAAACACAGCAACGAAACAGAGGAGGGTGGGCAGTAAGACCCTGAGGCAGAATGCAGGAAAGCAGCCACTTCCTCTTTTCAGGTTTCCCTTCTCCGTGACTCGCGATTTGATTTTTGTCTGATTTTTTGGCTCCAGGGACCACACATTCGCTCCATAACACGCACAGACATTTCCCCTTCCTTTTTAGGAGAAAAAATCTGCGTGTTATAGAGGGGAAAATACGGTATTTTCAAACAAGCTTTTGATTAGACCACTGCTTAAAGTATTGATTGGAAGGGATGTTGCTGCTGTTTTCAGTGTGATTGTTTGAGTTTTAAGGTTGGAGTCACTGATGGTTTTATAGAATCATAGAATCATAGAGTTGGAATAGACCACAAGGGCCATCGAGTCCAACCCCCTGCCAAGCAGGAAACACCATCAGAGCACTCCTGACATATGGTTGTCAAGCCTCTGCTTAAAGACCTCCAAAGAAGGAGACTCCACCACACTCCTTGGCAGCAAATTCCACTGTCGAAAGTTCTTCCTAATGTTTATGTTTTCCTTTGTATCTGTAAGTTGATTTGACCAACGCCTTTGTGGAAGAGAAAAGCAGGGTATGCATTCCTGAAGAAATAAAATATTGCCTCATTATTATTCCTGTTCAGGCAAGAAATTCAAGTTCTGATTTTTGTGATAGTTCATAGTTCGCTGATGACATTACTAAAAAGCAGTGGGTCGGGGGGGAGAGTTAATGAAAAAGTGCAGACAACAACCCCCCTTTCCTATTTTAGCCACTAAGACCAAAACATCAGATTGTTCTTTAGGGTTTGATTCCAAGAGTAAAGACATGTTTTACTTAAGAGAACTGCAAGAAAAGTATTGTGAAACTGCTCTCCTAATTATGTCACAAAACAGAGAAAATGCTCATAAGAAACTGTAGTTATTGAACGTGAAGCTGTTCCATAACTGAGCTAGACTGTGTATTGTGTCATTTAATACAAGCAGAGTCTCTAGCAATTAAGACTCAACAGAGATTAGAAAGCTCTGCCAATTTATTCAGATTCAAATGGCTTGCTCTCAGACAACGCACCAGAGAAAGGAACTGTTTCTTATCAGCTATTCCAAGATTTTGAAAACAAGCACTGTGATTCATATGATCCAAATACCCCAAGCAGTCAGCTGTGACTATCTGATTATACCCATTAAAATCTATAGGTACCCTCTGCCAAACTTAAGGTCTTCCCATCTGTCTTTCAGGCTCAGTTCAACGGTCTGAATGGCCAATTGTTCTGAGTGCAGCAATTATATTATGGTTTTTAAAAAAGCCCCCACAGTAAATGTGGTCACATGGTGTGCACGTATATTTTTAGAACTCATTGCAGGACACTGATCAAGATTTCTTTATGAAACAATTCAGAGCAACTTATTTGAATAGCTCAGTCAGTACAGCATGAGAATCTTAATCTCAGGGTTGTGGGTTCAGGACCCATGTTGGGTGAAAGATTCCTGCATTGCAGGGGGTTGGACTAGATGACCCTTGTGGTCCCTTTCCAACTCTACAATTCTCTGATTCTATTATCTTCGTGTACAAAAGGGTCACCAGCTGACCAAATGAAAGATTACTGCTTACAAAGGCAAAGCATTTTCTACTAGAATTTTACATTGCTTTTACAATGAGAGAAAGGAGCCTTCTAAATTCTGAACTATTGGGGGGGAGGAGAGAAATAGCTGCAAGGGGGATTTGAACAAAACCCACCTCCATAGGGTTTAACTGAACACTAATTCCCCTCCCCACCAGTCCTTTTTGGTCAAGCATTGTATAGTGCCACTTTAACACACTTGATCCCTACCTAAAATGGAACGTCTGAATCCATATCAAATAGTAGCACACCCAGTATGCCTACCAGATCATTTTATAGTTCCCCCTCTCTCTCCCCCCCCCTCTCCTTCTCCCCATCCCTCTCTCAAAATACATGGTGCCATCCTGAATGTTGCAAAATTCAGGGCAGATAAAAGAAAGCACTTTTTCACACAGCACATAGTTGAACTGTGGAATTCAACTGTGGAATGCTGACAGGTGCCATAAGAAAGCTGCAGAGATAGTGCAGGATAGTGCGCACCCCGGAAATGATCTCTTTCAGCTTCTGCCTTCTGGAAGAAGGTATAAGGTTATAAAGACTAGGACTAGCTGCCTGAGAAACAGTTTCTACCCAAATGCAATTCTGGTTTTAAACGCAGTATAAGGAGTCTCTATAGGAGTATATTGTATTTTAAAATGGGGTTTCAGAGTTTTTAGGGGGTTTTGAATGTCTTTTGTAGATTTTTCAATTTCATTGTTCTGTAAGGGACAATGACAATAAAGATATCGTATCGTATCCCCCACAATATTTAGGGATGGCCAGCAAGTTGGACAGCTTTAAAGGATGGTTAGAAAAATGCTAGGAGGGGAAGGCTATCCATGGACACCAGCCACAGTGGCTATATTCTGCCTCTAGTTTGCATCTGAATATCAGTTGCTGGGAATCACGTGAGAAGAATGCTGATGCACTCAGGACCAGTTTGTGGGCTGCTTATGGACGCTGCTTGACCCACTATGAGAAAAGTTTAAACATGAAACACTTGTGATCCACCCCTTTGTGCCCCACTTCCTATGGGTGAAATCCAACTGTTCCCACAGTCTCAGAAGAAGGGCTTTTGACCTTGGAAAAGGTGGGGAGGGTTTTGTGTTTGTTTGTTTTTTGCTTTCTTTCTTGCAGACCTAAGCACACACACCCTCTGAAAATCAGCTCTAGGTTGTTGGGGAACCCTGCAGAACAAATCAAAAGGTACCACAGGGGGCTGCCAAGGGAATCAGAAAAAAACCCTTCCCCCCTTCTGCTATGGGGCACCTCCACTGGATTCCACCCTGTGTCACTGGGTCAATTAGACAAGACTGATAGCATTTAGCTGCTCTGAACTGCCAGATTTGAAATGATGCTGAATTAATTCTGCTGTTGCTATTGAAGGAAATATTTCAAATGTCCTTACATTCAATTATGTGATATTTTTAGAAGCAGGCTTTTAAAAAAAGAAAAACTAATATAAAATAGAACAGTGAACTTGTAGGAGCAAATTTGCTCGTTATGACAGGCGTTTCTTAAAATGTAAACACATTCATAAAAAGCTGAGATTGCAGATTCATTTTTCCAACTCCTTGTGTCAGTCGACAAGCTAAGTAATTAATTACCTCAGCTTCCCTAGCTCTTTTCCATTCATAAACTTTTAATGTTTAAAGGTAAAGTAACTAGATAGGTGGGGGGGACCTGCTGGGATACATTCAAAATACAACAACATTAAGGTTAAAAATTTAATAATTTCCATATAATTCTGCCCCATTTATGTTCATTTGCTATTCACTCTTTTTTTGAGCATGGACTGTCATTTTACTAGCCCATTGCTGCACCATTCAATAATTATACAGGTTACGTTTGAAGAGATTCTTTTATGTTAATGACATTCTTCTCATGTTGGGTCACTCTTAGGGTTAAAGAACTGAAAATGTAAATGAACGCCCATTAGGGTGGGTAATAGCTGATCATTAACTTTATGCTTTATTAGATCTGCCAACCTTACATATTCTAATTAAAGAACAGCCGTAATTTTTCTTCACTTTATGGATGAACTTCCAATGCTGAAATTTTTCATCCTAAATGCAACTTATTTCCTCTCTCTCTCTCTCATTAAACTTTAGAACCAAAGTGTTTGCCCCCTTCCCTTTTCATTTAACTCGTCTTGCTGTTAAGACGGTACACAAGGAATCTTGATTTTTTTTATTAAAAAAATGCTTTGCGTGTCTGCATCTAATCTCACCACTTTTTAAAATTCATTTATTGCTCTGTGTGTTTCTTTTTGCAAATCTACCAAAGAATAAAATAAAATAAAATCAGGATTAAGATTTTTTTCAGGACAGAGGAGGGCATGTGTGCTGGGTCCCATTGGTGAAGTGGTGGTACTCTTGCCCTTTTACTGGTCGAAATGCTTTGTGGAAGGGAGACAAAAAATGGGGGGCTGAGGAAGGTCAGTTGTGGGGAGTGGGAAATGTCTATTTTCATCTGAGGAATGTTGGAGGGTATAATATTGGCTACATAAACATACATTTTTCTGCTGAGGTCCAAAATTTGCAGTAATCTTCGTTTTGACAAACGAGTATTTTAGAGCTTACAAACAAACAAACCAAATCACAAAATCCATAGCATGTTAGAGTGTGATGCAAGCCTGCAGAGATGTCATTATTACGCTAACACTGTCAAGCATTAATGTTCTCTTTACCCAAAGGTAGACAGAGATGCTCCTGCAACTGCTGCAGTCCTTATGTAAACGTTTCCACTCATATTGTTCCTCCATATACCCCGCCTGGCCCTTTGGGCGATGCTCTTCTTTCGTTATATGGTATTTACATGGATCCAAACGGACATCAAGGCAGAAGCGACCATTTCAATTGAGGCAAAGGTAATGGGAGTGTGTCAAGAATGTGCTACACACCATACGGAAGACAGAAGAGATGGTGCTCTATCCGAGAGATTGCACATGACATAAAAGCCAGGATATGGAGCAGCAGGGATGGGGGCTGGGGGAGAGAAACCAAGACATCAGAGTGGACCAAGTAAAGAAGGTTGAAGTTGTTGCTGAAAGTAGGCTTTACGAAGGATGGAAGAATTTGGAAGGAGTCAGGCAGAAGAAAACAGAGACAGAGAAAAAGGCTTTTTCAAGCACATGGGGAAACGGTTGGGAGAGAAAGAGAAATGAAAGCAATAAATCTTGAGATGAGTAGGTGTTGGCTAGAGGAGGAAGGATGTTGGCTGAATTATCTATTATACACAGTGAACAGGAACTCACTTGAAGGCTTCCGATGTGAATTGACTTTGTGGCTACACCGCTTTTAAGTGAACTGTGGAAATTTTGCACAAAGAAGACAAAGCCAGAGCAGGTGGGAGCTTTAAGGTGGTGAACAAAAATCTTGCAGGAGTAAAAGAACTTAACAGGAAGCTACCTTAACAAAAGACATGGTGTGATCAAAGGGGCAGGCAGGGAGAAGAGGGGGTGGGAATTAACTGAAAGAACCATCAGTAGTGAAAACATCTTTAAAAGGCAATTTTTAAAAGCAGTGTACATGGAAGAGTTTACTTACAGGTTTCCATGCCTTCATCATCCTCATCTGCAACAGGTTTATCATACGATTTGTCAATTGCAGCTCTGAAGCTCTCATTGCACCCTCGCCCTCTGATTATCCGCGGCCGTGGACGGTGGAAGGGAATGTCACCATTCAAAGTTACCTCAGCGACTGCTGTCTGCAAACTTTCTAATGAACTGGATTTCTTCAGGCCTAATGAGGGGCCTACATCTCTGGTTGGAGAACCTTAATATTTTTTAAAAAGAAAAAAATAATTAGGATTAGCAGGGAGGACTTTCACACTTGATTATTCACATCTACAGCGACAGTCTACGGGAATGTGCTTAACATTATTCACATTATCTCTATACTCTGTAGGGAATTCTAGGCAGATTTGTTGGTTGGAGCAATGAGCGTGTCAAGTCATACACTATGAATTTGACAAGGTTAGTAACATCCCACTTTTCAAATTGGTGGGAAGTTAAAGTCATCACTGTTATTTCAACCATTTTAATGAGAATAAAATAATTACCAAGCTGGTTAAAAAATAGAGTACAAAGATGTCAGCACTATATACTTGATTGGCATAGCCAGTTAATTTTGTTTTTTAAAACAGCAAAAACAATCCTATGCAAATACTGGAAATAATGAACATTAAGGAGATTTTATTGACCTAAAATTAGCCTGCAATCTCAGAACAGTATCTGGGGAAAATTCTGCCTCACTAGCTTCTTTCATGGAGTGAATTTTAATAACCTGCACTTAAATATTCCACTGTTCCCAAGAGCTTGTCTACATAGATTTTTTTTTCTTTTGGATTAATTAACCCATATTAGTTAATATGGTTATAATACATTAAAACTCATGTCAACACTTATTATGGACTAAATGCAAGTAATGTAATTTTTTTAACCTTGATTAGGAACAGGGATTACCCCAGCATGATAAAAGCACTAATAATCTCCAACAAACACTCGCAAAGAGAATATTAGCTCACAACAACATTAGTAAACTAAAAGAAAAAATCTCTATTCCGTGAAAAATAAACAAAATATTTTTTGAATAGCATGTGTATGAATCATTTCCGTGAACTTCATGGACAAACTACTGCACTGAAAACTTAAGGGATTGGTCCAATAAAATGTAACTTTTGAAATGCTATTCTAATTGAATTTTTCTCCTGGGTTTATTAATGGTTGTCATCAAAATTTCCTATGAAACACTTTGTAGGAATTATTGGTGCTATTACCATGCTAAGGTAATCCCTGTTTCTAAACAAAGCAAGGAAACTCACTCTCTAGAAATATTTTTATGTCAGTGTTATTTATGCCTAAACTAAACTAAACTAAACTAAACTACTAACTTAAGTAAGTGAAACCATTTCCTGAAATGCAAATACTGGCAGAACCCCCTCATGTGGTCAACTGGTTGAGGTTGGGGGTTAGCCAAGTGCAATTTCCCTATGTAGCAGCTGTCATGACCAATGCTGACTTAGTGAGTGTTGCTGGAAATGTACTGGTCACCGTTTTATTTCTTTATTTCTTTATATTTTTATACCACTCTTCATGACAAGATCTCAAGGGCAATTCACAAGATAAAACACAAGATTAAAACACAAGCTTTACCATGCTGTGGTGTGTTGATATTCTTCCCATGCTAACCTAACCCCCAGTTCCAAAGGCAGCTGAAATAAGGAATAGCATGTAACCCCAGAGAGATGCTGGTCTCACTCTGTATAAGGCAGCTTCTGCTATTCCATGTCCTTTGCAGATGTTCACCAAAGACAATTCTGCAATTGTGGAGCAGTTTTTCTACAGGTTCCCGAGTTACATATGAAATCATTGGGATATAAGCTCTTTTATACAGTTAGATGATCCTTACACCAGGATCTTAAAACTAAGTGGGTTTCAGATACCACATCCAGGGAAATCCTGGTGAGCTCCAAATGTGGTTAACACTGGTGTCCTTAGGTGGGCTTATGGGAGAATTTGTTCCAGGGAGAAAAGGCTCTGAGGTGAGGGGGCAGGTGAGTTGGTTCCCAATTTGCAAACCAAAGTCAGAATGGAGCCAGACTTGCATCTGGCTTGTTTACCTTGCAAGGCAGTTTACTAAGGGATTACTCACTGTTGAATGACAGAACAGGGAAACAGCTATAATGGAGTTCACTGCCTATAGGGAACCCAATACAATTCTTAAGTCACGCTCACCGCTGCATTCAGAGCATGAGGGAGCTGATGTAGCAGTTCCAATAGTTGTTTGGAAACAGCTACGTGTCTGTGGAGTCACAGATCAGTATAAATACAATGAATTCACACCTCCTCCAAATACCTCCCATCCCACAGGTCCCCCATTTTTTGAAAGGGAAGAGACCTGGGTATAACTGGAGGGAAAGGACAGCTGGTGGGATGAGCAAGAAAGGAAAAGGAAGGTTCAGTTCTTCCCAGCTGCATAAACAATCCTTAGCCTATGCTTGCAAAGAAATGTCTGGTGTGAAGATTGCACATTATTATTTTTTCCAGAGGACTATTTCATATGTCAATGTGTTAAGAGAAAGCTTCACTGTAGGTAACTACCCTGTATTTTACATCAACGTAGCTATCGTTATATAAAGCTATACAGCTAACTGCAGTTATATAACCCTCATATTTAGTTTGATGAGTGGTTTATTTTTCAACGTTTAAGTCTACACAAATTCAATCTGAGAGACAGCGACACAAAAAAGTTGGTGAACTTTTTGAAAGTGCAAAGGATAAGCAGTCGTGAATAAAGCAGCTGCTGAATAGATTTATTCCTTAAACCAATGGGAGTAAAAACATTATCCTATTATGTGGCAACTTTAAGTTCCCTCAGTTTCAGCATTTCAATATATATTTTAAATGAAATGCACATCAATCTTTTTCTAATTACCAAGTGGCTCCATGCTCCTTTTGTAAACAGTAGTTACATTACGTACCCATTTATGCTCATAAGGGACCCTGAAGAAAAGGCCCCATTTCCTGCTACCCAGTACGGCTCACTGTGAGAACAATATTTATGTAAGTTGCACTATCCCAAAGGAAAAGCGTGATGGGATATGACCTAATGTTCCCAGAGTACTGTAAAACTAATAATGGATTGCAGAAATGGTAAGGATATTTATTGAACTTGGGTGGCCATCAACATAACTGTGGACAGTTTGCAGACGCTGAAAGACTGAAATAACCCTACATAAGCAGAACATGTACCACGATGATAAAAGCTGTGTTAACAGTTCAGTTTCACTGGTACCTTCACTGCAAGGAAAGGGTTCTCAAAACTCAGGGCTTGGTTGAAGACACAACTAAGGCTGCAATCCTGTATACTCTTGTTTGGGAATAAGTCTAATTAAAGTCAAGTGGGCTTACTCTTTCACAGACAAATATAACATTGTGTTGCAAGTTAAGCCATTGGTTTCAATGGGATTCAAAAGATGACTAACTTTTTTCAGGATTGGGACTTTTTTCCCTAGTAAATTGAATGTGATTGCATCTTAAGGGGCTTTTGAAAAGGAGCACAATCCCCCTGGGAAATGCCTCCCAAGACAAAACCCACTGAAGCAGACAGGAGTCATACAGATTGTTCACAAGTCTTGCAATGGTTCAGAATACTCTAACAAACAGAGTCAAATTCAGCCTTTCAACCATTTCTTCTCGAAATTCACAACACATACATTCACCATTTCACTTTGTATCCCTGATTACAAAGGTCCCTTTTTAATTCAATGCCTCATCTGAATAGGTTAGCACAGGCTCATTCTTTTCTTCTGAAATATATTACTGAATTAGAGAATGCTTAATAGTGATGATGTTGCCAATTATATGAGCATAAAATGCATAACATATAATTAATGTGAATAATGTTATTCGTAGCTACAATGTTCTGGCTCAAATAACAATAATTCATAATGTTGAGTGCACTTTATAATAATCACAATGCTAAAACTGAGAGAATCAGGTTGAATTCCTATTTTAGTAGAGTTTTCTGAACTGCCAACATTGCTTTGAGATAATGGCCTTGTTTTCACAACAATCACTATGAATGTGCTGATCTGGGCCACTTTGTCCTTTCTGCTACCACTGGAGAAAACAAACCTTGATCCCTGGCTTAGAGTTATGTCTGAACCGGAGATGGTAGTCCTTTTCATAAGCTTTGTTCTTGGCTTACTAACTGTGGTTCGCCGTAGGAAAACCAGTGGGCCAACAGATGGAGTAGACAGAAAAGTGCCCCTCTATTCAGGTTCAAGATTAGATGTGCCTATTGCTCAACACAGTTAAACTAAATCAAAGCGCTCCAAAACTCCAGTTAAACAGATATTTCAAAATGGTGTTTAGATGCTTCCTCATGTTCAGCCTAGCTGGGATCAACAACAGTCAGATGGATGTAACCCAGGTAGAGGGTTTAAGGGGAATTTGTGCAGATGTGGAAAACTACATGTCTCACCAGTTGACCAAAATCAGCATATCAGCCCTGGATTCTTAAGAATTGGCTATGGCCAGCTATGCAGTTCTTCTAAGGTTAATGACTTGAGTGCATTTATACAAGCATTAATCACAGATCATTTTTAGCTATGGTGTCTTATTAGCATCGTAAGGACATTTTATCAGCGCAACAAGCAGACGTTTGGGAACAAACGTTTCAGATTCATGATATCTGAGCTTTTTTCACTATTTCACTGGTACAGTCCCAATAATTTCAGTGAAACTAGATAGTCAGTGTTGATAAGTGAATAAGTCCACATAATAAAGGGGTAGTATTTTGACCTGTCAGGGGGGGACAAGACCCTAAAACCCAGAACTGCAATTACATCCATTACTGGAAAAGATCATTAAAACTCCCCCACTGATGAATGGCTATAATGAACATAGTGTGTTTGAATAAGGCTTTTTGTTCCCAGAGAGCTATTGTTAGCATTATGACAAGGTGAATATGGAAATAGCCCATCATAGTTACTGTATTCTAAGGTTGAATAAATGAGCCATGCTCAATTGCTACTGAATAGACTTCTGACCTTTGGAACAAACTGTAAACACTGACAATGATGAGGCAAACCAAGTGAACTGAATAAAGAAAAATAATTTTAAAAAAACTATTATAGTAGATTCTGTCCTAGTGAGAACCTTATTTTCCATTTGAGGCCAACACAACTTGTAGTTTTAAAGATGTTCCAGTTAATTCTGCCAACGTACATATGTTCCACTGTTTTGAAGTTTATATATTTCAGTGAATATGTATCAGTTTTACCACACATATTAAACATTTACCTTTAATAACCTAAGGTGTTTTTTTTTGTCTGAACTGGTAACATGGATTCATTCAACTTCTCAGTTTTTCATAACCTGAAAACTACAGGTTATATGAAAAATCTGCTCTGCATTAAGTAAAAAAACCAAATATTTATTTTGGTTGGCTCAGATGGTTTGTGGCTAAGGGTCATTGCCCTGTAATCCAAGTGTGTTTCATGGCTGTTAACGGAGGCTGCCACATGGAACGCTTTGCAATTTTACAAATAATTCCAGAAATTAGGTGTCCTGTTAGTGGTCAGGTCACTTATAACAGGTTGTGCCAAAGACTTATTCAAATAATGCTAACATCCTGAACCCAAGGGGTTTGGACCTGATTTGACTTGCTCAAAGTAAGAGGATAGTATACAAAACCAGGGGAAATCAAGAAGGATTTGATCAAATGTTTGATCAATCTGTTTCTTTTGGGTGATTTAAAATAGATGAGACTGGAGGGATGTGAAAATGTGAATCTAGGCCCAAACAAAGAAAAGCTGCTAAGAACTCATGGATGTGTGGGTGGGTTTGTTTGTTTTGTGAGCACAGTGGGTAAACAACAACAACAAAACAAACCCCAGGAGTCTGTGTTGTAAGATATGAATTATAAAGAGAAACTTGCTGTTCAGGCATGTTAAGTGTTCAAGGTAGATGTACAAACAAGCTCAATGTCATAAAACTAGAATATTAAACTATTAACAGGGCCATTGTAACCGCTTTGCAGGCATAAATGCAGCAAATATGTGTAGGATCGAAAAGTAAGAAAACTAAATTTCATTTTTTGTTAAATTACCATTTCATCACATCATTTTGACTCATGCCTGTCAGCTCAGGCAATAGTCACAGGGCTGAATAATATCAATCTAGCTCTTTAGAGCTCAACCAGTCATATAAAATGAAGCAGATCTAAACTTTGCATGCATTGATAAATGCCACTTAACGAGACTAATCTCAGTATGTAATGTATGCATGCAAGTTATTGCAAGGCTGTGCCTTCTTGCTTATTAAGATCTACAAGCTACTCCAGTTGTTTTACAAATGCTAGCATCCCACCAGTTCTTTTAAATCTAGCTTTCCAGTTGACTGTTTATGTTTCACGATGTGATTAAACAGAGAGCCAATTATCTATAGAAAAATTAATAATCAGTGTACATGGGCCGCCCTATTCAATGAGTCATGCTAAAAATAAGTAATATTTTCAGGACTAAAAGGTGAATTGTCCCTAATTAGAGCTAAGTAATGTTACTGTTTTTGTGTGTGGAATGTTACCGTGTCCTCTAGATCTACCCTAATTAAAACAACATTCCAAAGGTCAAAAGCTAACTTGCATTAATAAATTATAAAGGCTCATAATTGCAGCTAGTGCATTATTTTAATTGGTAATAAATTCATTCTTTGGAAGCTGGCATCATGACCATTACAGAAAAAAGCAAAAGGCCTGCAATGCATCCCTTATAGCACATGAATCTCTTTATTTGAGTCTTTTGTTCTAATATCCAACTAGGAGAGTATATGGACAGTATGAAACTGCACCTCCACATTATGCGATTGCCTACTTGTTGCAAAGACAGAAGTTCCATTTAGGCACATAACCCAAGATGATGGAACTTTGCAGTTAAAAGCAAATTTCAAAGTCTGGCATTATCAGCGCCTGTAGATAAATACCAAGGATTTCTAACGGCATTTTCCTCTGTTGAGTCTGTAGCCCTAAGAACGTATTGTTGAAAAGCTCTAGGGAATAATATTGTCTTTTAACAACTACATTTTGAGGACTGAGTTCCTAGACTCACTCATCTACATGTAATTTTCGCACGCTTGTTATTTTTCTATGATACTGAACATTCGTTAGGCTATTCCATATAATATTTGTGACAATAGAAAAAGTCATGCAACTATTGAAATATTATTTTTCCCATGCACTGTGATTGGCAGCTATGTAATTGTGGTAAGCTGCTTTGACCAAGGTTTCTATGGCAACCACCCTACAGTCAATTCTTACCTGTTTTCTGGTCATCCATTGTACTGAGCTTAGTCTCGTCAGCTACTGTTAAAAGGTAAATGTATAACGGTTAGCCCTGTTAGTGCCCACATCCCACATGCATCCACTGTTTATATTCTCTTTAAAGTTAGAGGACACTGGAAACATCATTCTTCATGCAAATAAGCAATGTTATGAGACTATCTTGATGGCACAAAATAACGCCCGGCAACAAACCTAGTAACCATCATGCGTTATGTCAGTCATTTCCATGTCACAGCCAAAAACAATGTTATTCACATGCTAGCATACACAACTAGCAGAGACAAGTTGCCACACATGTCTGAATGCAGTGATCTGAGTTTTTAAAGCCCCGCTGGCTCTTCTAAAAGCAATATGTATTTGCATACATTAAAATTTCTTCTACTTAAAAGAAAGCCATAAAAGGCTTGGTTAGAAATGCTTGAGACATATGATTATAACAATTAACAGGAGGCAAGGTGGACAAACAAATTTTCTTTGCCTTCATTTAACAATATCTCTGCAGGACTACAAGGTTCATGGCACTCCCTTACTTACAGAAATATTAACCCTTCTGAGAATTCATACATCATACAAATAAAATGGGGATGGCACTTTATTATATGCTACCCACAAGCGAGCATTTATAAAATGTTCTCAGATTCTAGAATATAGTTCCTTACATGATCCATTCCCACAACTGCTGATTAAATATGAAAATAATGCTGTTCATATGTATCCCATTACTGATTAAATGGTATCCTGTTTTGAATTTCTAAAGAGCAGGTATCTTGCTACTATTAACTTGTGCTTCAGTGAGAGTTGCTACGTATCAAATTTTACCACTCACGGCATGCTATCAGCTTTCCACAATGAAGAGTACTGTGGCACCATAAAAAGGTCATCAAATTCATCAAGTGATTGCATAAGTGGATAAATATATAAATATCATGAGAAGGGATTTGGGGTGGGGGGAAATTTCCACACCATAAATCTTTGGTCAGGACCATTCCATGCAGCAGGTTTATTTTCTAAACAATACAGTGAAAGTATGCATTTAAACACCAACTTAGACAGATACAAACTGGCAGCTGCACATGACAATATATATTTCATACACACACACACAACATGTTTTTCCATATATCCTCAGAACGTAGTGATTAAGCAGTCTACAAATCTTACTAAAATAAATAAAATAAGAAGCAGATTGGCCAGGTAGTCATAAGACACATAACAGGTCTAGCAGAGGGAGTACAAACACACAACGTCCTCACAGGACCCATACTTGCTTACGGACTACAAACTGAAGCAGCTCCTTAAGATCAGTGAATGAAACGGATACAAGCCACCATCTCCATATTGGCCAATGTTGTAATTCCTGCAACATCTGACATTTGCAAACCTAGATCTCAAAGGAGACTGGGAATGGCTACTTCACTACAGAAACTAATAATCTCTCTTTAAAGGTAAAGGGACCCCTGACCATTAGGTCCAGTCGTGACCAACTCTGGGGTTGCAGCGCTCATCTCGCTTTACTGGCCGAGGGAGCCGGTGTACAGCTTCCAGGTCAATGTGGCTAGCATGACTAAGCCGCTTCTGGTGAACCAGAGCAGCGCACGGAAACGCCGTTTACCTTCCCGCCAGAGCGGTACCTATTTATCTACTTGCACTTTGACATGCTTTCGAACTGCTAGGTTGGCAGGAGCTCACCCCGTCGTGGGGATTCGAACCGCCAACCTTCTGATGGGCAAGTCCTAGGCTCTGTGGTTTAACCCACAGTGCCACCTGCGTCCCAATCTCTCTTTACGTGTTTATTTATACTATCCAACACTAGCAACCACTAGATGATAATCTACTCTGATTGGATCATATATTAATTTGTTATCTGCATAGCAACTGACACCTCTGCCATTGTCTCCTGTATTGATTGGCATTTCGTCAGCACTTTCAAAAATATGTCTTGTAGTAACTCCTGAACACCTTATCTGACCTTGTCAGCGTATCTATTCAATTCTCTAGGTGAGCATTATAGTTTGCAAAATGCTCAAGGTAAATCCTGCAGGTGTCCATTCCTTTCTGAAGGATTAGAGCAAAAAACAATGGTTGAGCTTGGCTGCTGACAATGGATCATGCTTCTGGGTGACAGCTGAACATGCATATAAGCATGTATACTTTGTAAGTTGGTGTTTGTATACATAGTGGCATGGTGGAGCACAACTGGTCACATGGCATGATCCACATATTGGTTGATAGGGTGGTCAAATTCATTGAACACAGTCTTTAGGTATGCATTTCACTACTCACCTTACTAGGCCTATTCACCATGAGGGCCCTCTAGTCAGGAATGGATCATAGCCATTCTTGTCTTCACCCAACTGAATATTATATTTAATTGTGCTCTACATAGTAATTTGACAAACCAGCTACTGCATCTTTCATGTCTTGGCATTTTTGGCTTTCTGAATCCACACCCCCCCTTCCAGTTTCCATGGTTTTAATATCAATCCACTTATGTGCCACTTCATGCTGTTGAGGAAATGAACTCTGGCTCAGAAAACTTGCGTCACAATAAATTCTTCAGTCTTTAAAAGGCCACAAGGCTCTTCATTGTTATTGTTGCAGCAGACTACCATGCTGACTGCTCTTTGTCAGTGTAAAAAAATATCATTATATGATGCCCCTCAGGATGCAATCCTACACATTGCTTTTTTCTGGAGTAATCAAGATCAGTTTGAGGATGCCAAACCGGAAAAGTTTTCTTTCTTTTATTTCTACAACTCAAAGCCCCACTGATGTTTGAATATGGATCTGAGACCTTGTGGTGGAACCAGGACTTAGGCTAGACCATGAAATGGAGTCCAGAGTGCACTGGACCAGATCCCATTGACCAGATCCCTAGGCCTGGAAAATCCAGAGGCTTTATATTGTTTGCCAATTGCAGGAGCTGATGTTGCAGGTTGGAGTTATGTTACAATCATTCCTAAGTACAAGGCCTTATCAGTGCCAAAACTGAACAGACGTTAGTTGTTTAGGAATTATTTTAAAATGCAAACTTGAATTATTTGGCTTTTCTGTCTCCTGAAAAGTACCTCATCATATGCACTCACACATTCACGTATCCTGAACCATTGTATATAACATGCATCTGCATAAGCATAATGTTTGAAATATATAAACATTTAAATTGCATAGACACACATAATGCTCTTGGATCAGACCATATTAAGACTTCTTCATGCCACATATTGAATCCAGCTGCACGGACAAATCAAATGTTTGGCATAACAAATAATATAACTGCAACACGAAAAACAAAGAGTATAATTGCAACCTGAAGAAACATGTTGAAATACAACACGGGGGGAGGGGTAAAAAATAAAGAAGTCAAAATTTAATACCTAAGTCCATGCTTTTGGATTTCCGTGTTTTAACAAAGTCCAACTGGCTGGCATCTGAAAATTGCTTAGTGCGCTTTTCTGACATGCTCTGGCGTCCAAAACCCTCTCGCTGGAAGGCAAGCGCTGGATCAACATCTGGACTCAGAGTGCTGTAAGGGAAAGGGGAAAATTAAAGCATACAAAGCACACACCTATCATAGTTGTGTAATAAAATGTTTACGTAAAATATGAACCAGCAACAATTTTTGAAAAATGGCAACTTATAATGTTCCATATCATTTTAAAAAAAAATCAAGTGACAAGCATATTTGCAATGGGATTCTATGGAATGAACAGCTGGGAAATCTACTTCAAGCATCCTCCACACTATGTGGTCCAAGTTTCCACAGGGGCATTCATGCTGTGGAAATAAATAACTATGCACGTAACTCTGGAAGATTCATGTGAATGGCCTGCTTCATGTGCATCATTGCAATGTAACTACCACACCCACAGGGGCTGCTCCCAATGAGCAGAAAAGAAAGGTGTGGAATGTAGAAAAGACGAAAAGAAAGAGAGAGAGGAACGCCCACATTGCTGGGACCCAGAGGGGAAAAATGAGATTTTATTATGTGCAATATGCACAATATATCTATAGTCTGATAAAACATAATAACTGAAATACTGTAACAAGTTACTAGGACAGTGAATAAGTCAAAATTCAAAGGGCATATTACACAAACAAAAACATCTCTCTCTCTTTTTTTTTACAGTGGGGGGTAGCATTGTCCCATCATTCCTAACCACTGGTCATACTGGCCAGGCGGATGGGAGTCTATCCCTGGTTTAATGTTTCATCCCTTTCTCTTTTTCTGGTTCCAGCAATGCAGCAGTAATTTTTGCAACCAGGAACCACGTGAATGGATCATGTTATAAAGCAGCAATGGCCCAATGCTGTGGGGATTGGCACTGCTGGTGTGGGATCATCATGCTTTTGAGTCCCGGAAGACCTGCTCCCTGCCTTGCAGGCCTTTTCCCATCTGAAATGGGAGGGTGCTGCCCTGACTGACTCTAGCTCCAAAAGCTGAGGCTGCTGAACAGACTCTTGGGTTGGAGTATTGTTTTGGAGTTTTGTTTTTTTGTTGGGGTGGGAGTTATTGCTGTTATTGATATAATTTTTTGATATTTTCAGATCTTATTGTGATTACTGTACTGCATTTTGGTTGTGTTTTATTTATTGATGATGAATACTGTTGTTATATTTGTAATTATGTATTTTTTTCACGTTGTCAGCCACCTTTAGCATGGCTTTAACTATGGAAAGATGACATACAAATAAAATGATATATGTATGTATGTATGTATGTATGTATGTAACTTTGTGTTCTTCTCTCCTAAATCATTACTCTACATCAGTATGCAGCACAAGGACGAGATCACGCTCATGTAGCCATCTTGCCTAAGCTGTATGTATTAATCAGATATAGGTTTAAAATTAAATTTCTTCCCTTCTAAATAGGTAGGTGAAACACAATAATCAAATGCAGCATCTATTGCACTCTTCACGGAACTGTGGCCAAAGAGGAAGTGGAACAAATGAAGGAGTAATTGGTATCAAGAGACCTACAGTATTTGGTTTGCTGGAGGAGCCTTGGACAAGTCTATCCACCAGCAAAATAAAAATGGGTTTGTAAAAAAACCCATATATGGTTGTTAGAGGAAAAAGTGGGATATAAATATGGTTGGTTTGCTTATTATCAAACTCCCATCCCACCCTTCCTCCATATTGCTCAGGATGGCTTATAGGGGTCTGTGCCATTGCTTTTTTCAAATCCTCACAGCCACCCTATGTGATGAATTCAACAGGCTGGGCTTAGAGAGAGTGACTGGACAAAGGTTGTGTTTTTAATTATTCAATCATATCTGCTGCTGAGATAGTTAAAAAACAAACTTGGCAGCCTCCCAGGTCTTTTATTTGTGACTATGCATGTGTAATTACAAATTACTCCTGGATTCAATCATCTTTTATTTTCTAGCTATAATCTACAGCAACACACCAGCAAAAAACAATGTAACCAAGATTTAGCAGCATCTGCAAAATAAAATGTTTTTTTTTTAAAAAAATGTTAACAAGCAAAACCAATAGATTTTTCTATATTTGAACCATGTTATGTTCTTTTTTCTGCTCTCTTGGAGGTGAGGCAGCGACCATTTTGTGTTAGGGCACCCTCATGGTGGCAGCTTTTTTGAGTTAGGCTACACCCTTGAAAGCAGCACCTTCTCAAAATTTCCAATGTGCCATCAGACCCAAAAGGTTGGCAACCACTGTATTACACAGCGGTACAGTGGAACTGTAGTGAAACTGCTTCCACTATGCAAAGTAATCTGGACTTTATAAATAATTATTCAGTTATCTATTTCCAAACTAATAAAATATTCAGTGCTTTGTTTATCACAGATGTTACACAATGAATTTTATGCCCAGGATACAGTGAAAATGTAATACACAACTGATGAGAAGTAGTGTATTTTATCAAGCAAAACACACCTCAAACGGTAACAATTTGAACAGAGGTTTGTTGCAGGAACTAAAAAAGCACAAAAGTCAGTGAGTATAGCTAAGTAAAATCGCCAAATAGTGGTTCTTAATATTTCAAATTGATGCTAAAGTCACTTTCTGTCTATTATTATTGTAATTTATAAAACCAACAAGCAGCAAAGCGTATTATAACAACTAAAGCTTCTGGAACGACAGTTGACTCTTTAAAGAATGTAACCGTATTGTGACCCTCAATGTTATTAAAATTCCACTTATTAATCCTGTCTCATTGTCCCTTTGTTTTCATAACATTTTCATCAAGGATTAGGGAGATATTGTCAGGCTGGAAAAAGCTTACATTTTGTGCTGTGATTCAGAACAGCTGCCATTCTTGTTTGGATAACCCTTCATCCATATTCTTAACTTCACCCCTTGATGCCTTGCAGCAAACTCACAGAATACACCTTTGTTTTACAAGCCTTCCTTTGTCCATTAGCAGCAGGAAATTAATACAAAAATCCACTCAACTGCTGTTTATTTAATTTCACTGGGTTTATTTTTTAACAAATATAATGCAATCAACACAAGTAAGACTCCAAACTGATCTGCCCCTTTTCATAATTGCATCTCTGCCTCTGAGAGAAAAGGCATTAAAGGTGGTTCCATAAGAAATTTAATGACAGGTAATAGCGCTTCACTCTTTCTTCCTGTGTCAGGGAAATGTGTGAGCAGGAAAATATTCTGCATTCCTAAATGTCAAAGATGTGTGTGTTTGTTTACATTCTGCTGAGGTTTTCTTGCCATACTCAAGTGGAAAAATCCACGCTAATACAATCTATTACATGCAATTTTGCATGCTTTTCGTGACCCGACCCCCCAACCCCATCACAAATTTTTAGCTTTTAATGTATTTCCCATGTGAATACAATGGTGGGTGTTTGGAGGATTGAAATTGCAGTTGTGCCTCTTTCAAATGGACAGGTTCAACATTCAGAAGGAAAAAACAAAAGTCATCAGCAAAAGACCAAAATAAAGAAGCTGCTTTTAGACAGAAAATAAACAGTTTCTTTAGACGGGGTATGAGCAAATGCCACTTAATACTAATCCACACTGATATAGATATAGATAAATAAATAGCTGACTTATGCAAATCCAAACAAAGAGATACTTGCTGGTGCTAATTCTTATTAAGACATTGCTGACACAGTTATACTATACCCAGGAGAGTGTGGGACTCAGAAAAATTCTCATACTTCAACCTGCTTGTGTTAATTATTGCCACCACCCTAGCAGGGGGTTCCACAGAGAGGTCTTTTATTTTGCTTATTGCTGAACATAATTACAAGGCTTACAAATTAATGTCATTCTCTTGGATTAGTACAGATAGCACTACACAAAAATTATGCAATATTTATCCTGCAGAAGACAGTAAACAACCCAAAGCCAAAGTAACACCTATCCCCCCGCCCCTGATATATACACACAATGTGTATCAGTGCAACTTGATAATCATAGTCCCCAGATTTGCGGATATTTTGAGGTGGGGAATGCATGCTACACTAATGTATCACAACAAATGAAACTGATCTGTAGAAAACACAACTTGAAAAAGAGACATCACATGTATTTTTGTAAACTACGAAATACTTAATAATAATAATAAACAGAACATCACTATGTAGCAAAATGAAAGTAATTGAAGTTTTGAGGATATCACAGAAAATGAGCTCTCTCTCTCTCTTAATCACCTTTTAGCACCCAAAGGTAGAGGATACCTGGAGAAGGACTTCAAAGTAGATCTCAGCTTGTGGATGCTACTAACTGCTTTTACAATGCTCCTCACTTTTAGAAGTATATTGCTATGCAGTAAGGGAGGGGGGCTCTGGTTCAAGATACACAAGCAACTTTGGCAGCCCAGATACAATTGAGCAGTAACTTAACCTTGGCCAAGTGAAACCTTCTCATAATTCTCTTCTGCTCTGCTTCCTAGATAGGAACAAGCAACTCAGAAAGAGGGCTGGGAAGTCTTCTTTCAACGATAAGCCTATAATTCTGCTCCTCTCTGTGTTGAAAAATGCAGGTGTGAAAAGCACATGAACTGTTGATAAGTAGAAGTAATGGTTTGTGTGGACATGGGCCTTACCATTCTGTTGACTCATTAATTGTTGGTTTGCTCCAGGCTCCACCATCTACTGTTGCAAAGCCCACATCATCATGGGAACTGGAAGATGATTGGTCTGAGAGATGTGGAGGTAGTACTGGTAATCTATCATCTTCTATAATGACCATGTCATCCTGCGGCATGTTGACTGTCGGAGATAGCTGGTATTTACCTGCACAAAATGGGAAGCGGAAGAGAACTAAACATACTGAGCACTCAACACAAACACTATGCTATTTGTCACAATTTACAAAGCAATTTACAAACCAAGAGCCATAAGGCATCTTCAAAAGGAACCTATTTATACTGTTGTAAGTCTTCACAGGTTGCAGACTACTTCATCAACAACAAGGAACAAAATGCCAGAAATACAGTCTCTTAATCCCTTATTAAAGATTGGTGGTGGTAGGAGGGTTGGAACTTGGAGAGAGAAAAGTTTGCATAAGACCACTACTGAATTCATAGCAGAGAAAAAAAACTGAACCAGGGACTTCCTCATTCGTAACTCAGTCTCTTAGTCTGCATGCTACAACAGATTTGAGTGCAATTACAAAGATGAACTAAACAGAGATGGGGGAGGAGCTAGATATTAATATGCGAGACACAGACATCATGTTCTCCATAATGGCTTGGTATGTTGAGTGATTGTGCATGCCATGTGAGGAGGCTAAGGACCAGGTTCTGTTTTACTTTATGGAAATGGATGAGAAATATATCAGAAATATATGATGCTGTACTGTTTTTAATATTCAGTTGGAAGCCGCCCAGAGTGGCTGGGGAAACCCAGCCAGATGGGCAGGGTATAAATAATAAATTATTATTATTATTATTATACCCTCCAGGGGACCATATAAGACTCCCACCATTCTTAACCATTGGGCACTGCTGGGTGGGGCACATGACAACTGGAGTCTAACAACATATGGAGGTCAAAAGGTTTTCCATCCCTGTTCTATAGACTTCCATCTCTGTAGGGCATGGTGTCTATATGGCAAAGCATCATCTATATTCATTCCATATATATTCATTCAAAGAATAACATTGCTAGCCCTGGTCATTTCAGCTGTGAGAAACAAACAACTTAAAAATAGAGTCAGAGAGAGATCCAATTCTTTTTAAAAGTTTTTTTTGGGGGGTGGAGGGAGGCAGGGAAAGTTAGACGAAAAAGAACTCTACTACACGTAGACCCATCATTGTCAAACTGAAATGAATGTGTTCAAGTTTGCATAGCAGCTAATTCTTTGCCCAGCAAAAGCTTCTTTGATGGACAGGTTAATGTTGAGCCTAGTAATGCACTCCTCTCCAAACATAATGCCTACAAGATTGTTAACTCTGTGACTAATAATGTCTCCAAAGAGCTGAATGCGAAACAGTATAACCTTATGGCATTTTTTAGATGAAGCCTCCAAGGTTGAGAGGCAAAAGCAATTCAGTGGCATGTCTAAGTTTTCTCTGCACTTCTTAATATTTCAGCAAGAATGAATGATGACATTTTAGTAGTTGCACTGAAATGTAAAAGAAAATACATTTATTTTACTGCAGGTGTGTGGGAGAGGAATGGGAGAGAGAAGCAGATGACCCTTCAGATTTATGCCAGACACAATGCACCAATGAAAAAAAATGGCTATTATTTCTAACTAGTAACATGCTGCATCAACAGTGCAAAGACCATGAGAAGTAATGGTACTACTCTATTCTGTTTTGTTCATACTTCATCTGGAGTACCATGTCCTTTGCTGGACACCACAGTTTAAGAAGGATATTGACAAACTGGAATGTGCCCAGAGACATTGGGAAAACAAAGTTCTGAATTGGGTATGTCTAACCTGCAGAAGAGATCATTAAGATGCTATATGATATTCATCTTCAAATAGATGATGGAGTACATTGGTTACATTTGCAACTACAGCTCCAGTTGACCCCAGCCATCATGGACAACAATTAAGGATAATGAGAATTGTAGTCTAAGAAGGGCTGCAATTCCCTATCCCTGCATTAGGCAAAAAATCCTGATCATACAAGATGTTTGACAATAGAATAGACCCTCATTTGTTACAAGTTTTTTAAGCATATGCCATCAATCAGGGTTGCTGTAGCAATGGATTTCCTACAAAGGTCAAGTGGGTGACCTTTGACATCTCTGATTCTATATTGTAGATGAGCAATAACTTGGTATAGCCATGTGTTGGATAAGGGAGATCCCAGCCACGAGCACCTTCTGCTGAGGTGTACCATAATTGGGAAAGCCCTCTCCTTAAAACTCTGGAGTGCTACTGTTCTACTCTGAGCAAAGTGGACTAGAAAACCAATAATACATGGAAACCTCATATGTCAATATGACAATTCTCTGCATTACAAGAATAAAAAGAAAATGAGCTATGGGCATAGTCAGGCAACATAACAAGAACAGCGAGCCTAACTGTTTGGTATAATGATGCACTTGGTACATAAGAGGGGGATTCCTCCCCTCCCCCATGACTGCTTGTTGTGTGGTCTCCTTACACTGAGGATCCATGAAGGGCCACGTCATACAAAGGATTAAAAACAAAACTAAAGTTGACTGCTCTTCCGGCAATGCAATTTCCCATGGACCTTGTCTGCGTAAAGTGGTGGGGGAAACTATCCAACTAAATAAGAACATATAATTCCCGTAAGAAGGAAATGACCCTGCAAGACCTCAACATACAGCCGCTTTCTATAAATACATATTGGCGAGTGGAACCGGTGGTCTCTGCTATATGCCTGTATTTTGGTTCGACTAGTAGTTATTATGGTTCCTGTGCATTGGTTGTTCCATCTAATATTGATTAAAAGGGTATCTTTATCTAATTGTTGTCTATGCTGCTCTAGAATGCAGCATTTATACTGTATTTGTATTTAAAGGCAGGATAGAAATCAGTTAAACATAAAGTAGTTCAGCATTCAGCCTAACACAGTGGCAAGATGTAGTGATTTTCATTTGATACCACAATTTAAAGCAACATAAGCTTTGCAAAACTGTTCATTAATATAGAAGCAGTGTCAAGAAATGCACCCTTCAAAAAATATTTGAGACTTCTTGCAGGAGCAGAGTTATACAATCCACGTGTATTAATTAAGCTTGGAATCGAATTACTACAGTTCTCTTAAATGATCCTAAAAATTAAACATAACTGAACCACTAAATGCTGTCTTAACTACACCCTCAACCTTTAACTGGTTGAGAGAAACTTTTCAATCCATTTTCCATATTTGTTTATGTCATTCTTCTTTACAAGCTCGATTATTGCAGAAATTTGGAAAATAACTGGCAAATTTACACTACTGTGATTCAGTTGGTAAAAATATATCAATGCAAGTTTCAGCATGTGGCAATACCAAATGCTTTGGGGCTTGTTTTTCAAAAAAAATGTACTTATTAACGTAGGAGTATGAAACACAAATCCAGCAAGGAATTCTATAATTAGGGGGAAATCCTTACTTTCTGAAAACATCAGAGGGATTGCTACAGAGAAGAAATCATTCTACAGTTACAGCTTAGGTAGCACTCCTTCATTATTGTACAAGGAAATGTTCTAGGATTATGTTATACCTGTAAAGCCTATGAAGCATCATGCCAATCTGTTAAATAATTTATGAGATTGCATCCAACGTTGTGCTAAGTAACTTGTTCCATTGATGAAAGGATTTATGCTTCCAGAACAGAACTTTCCCCCCTCTCGGATGTCCCCTTCCCCAGTTTTCAGTGTTTTCCCTCAAGCCCGTCAAGAGTAACTTGGGGGAGGATGTGGAACATGCATGAAGGGAGCAGGAATAATTCCCCCCCCCCATGAAGGCATAAATCCTTCCACTAATAGAACAAGGACATCGGATACCAACCATGGTCGTTCACATTGATTACCGCTGCTCAGAGCCTTCAGATAGGTAAGGCATATTTGTTCACAAAGCTGCTAGGAGGATTCCAAGGAACAAAGCAAACTCCAAGGTTCCCTCCATCAAAAATAAAATAAAATAAAAATCAGGGACACTCAGATATAGTCCTCTTTCAGGACTATAGTGTAGCAGCCCAGGAAAACATGGAGATATCATATCTGAGGTGCCTACATCTCTAACCGTGAATCTATGTTCTCCTACAGAGAAACCAGTAGGAGAACACTTCAATCTCCCAGGACATTCTATACAAGATCTCAAAGTAGCTGTTTTACTACAAAGGAATTTCAGAAATAGACTGGAAAGAGAAGCTGCTGAATTGCAACTCATTACGAAACTTAAAACCATGGAGAAACCTGGTCTGAACAAAGACATTGGATTCTTATCTCATTATACATGACAAAGCCATTTTTCACCTTCTCACCCCTTGCTTTTTCCTGTAAGACCTATTGCAGTCGTTAAGAGTCATCAACAGGCTCATCACAGCTATCTGCCAATCACCCATTCCCACCACCCTTCTGAGTAATACCCCTCCCCACCTTCTCACTATATAGAAGGATCTGGCAACTTCTGTTTCAGTGTATCTGAAGAAGTGTGCATGCACACGAAAGCTCATACCAAGAACTAACTTAGTTGGTCTTTAAGGTGCTACTGGAAGGAATTTTTTTTGTTTTGACTATGGCAGACCAACACCTATCTGTAACCTATCTGTAACGTGAATCTATGTGTTCCACTTAAGGTTTGATGCAGATGTGGGCAACTGCTAGGTGTTATGCTTCAAACAATGTGATTCGGCCATTGCTTCTTGGGGAAAGGCTTAGTGCTAGAACATCTCCTTTGTTAGCAGAAGGCCCCATGTTCAATCCCAGACATATCCTGGTCTGAAATCCTGCAGAACTGTGGGAGCAATACTGAGACATATGGACCAAGGATCTGACTAAGCATAAGGCAGGTTTGTCGGTTCTTTGTTCCAGAATTTTTAACAAAATAAAATGTACACTGTATTGTCCCATAATCCTATGTGCAATCTGACACCTGCAGCACCTTAATCCAATCCAGCCTATATTTTCCATCTTGAGGCAAAGTCTAAATGTAGGACTTGGGGGAAAGAAAAGGAACATGTGGCCCTCCAGATGCTGTTGGATTCCAGCTCCCATCAGCTCCCATCACTATGATCAAATGTCAGCAATGAGGAAAGTTGCACTCCAGCAACATCATGAGAGTCACAGGTTCTCTAGCCATGCTTTAGGGCTTTAACATCAAGACATGTAATATTGTTATAACCCTGCCCTGAGCATTTATGGTGAAGGGCAGGTTAGAAATCGCATCAACAAATTAGTTTTAGGGATGCTCTGGGCCCACACTGTACACCCAAGAATTTCTCCAAGCAGGTTTACAACAGTGGTACCACCAGCAAACTAGCAGGTAGGGAGCAAGCAACTTTGAATGGAAAAAGGACGCAGCCACAAGACTTCTCAGCCTTGCCCTGATGTAATTTCCCTGTTAACCTAGAACCAGGCTGGCTTGCTGCTTGTGATGTGAGAACAAAAGCATCCAAGGCAGGAAACTGCTACAAGCTATTTTACTTGCATCTGGAGCTCCATGCAGAGGAAGAGACTGATACAGGGATGTCAGGGAACTGCCATCGGAAGGACAGGAGGTGCAAAGGCTCACTGAGGTGGAGAGAGACATAGCAGCTGAAGAGGGAACCAGTAGGGGGAGAGGAGGAACTCCAAGGGAAAGTGAGTCGGAGGGATGGCTCAGAGACGCTTCCAGCGAAAACAGTGGGGAGGTCTCAGGACCTCCTATAGGGACACCCACTCCTCGCCGGAAACTGTCACGCCGAGAGTCCAGAAGACGTGTTTCCGTTAAGGAGCTTTTATGTTGGAAACGATTCCGAAAGCAACCACTTTCGGATTCTGCTAGCGACTGACGCAGCCATGCCGGAGGGGCTCCGTCACAGGCAGAGGTTTGAAAACCTGATCAAACTCTGAGGGACTTGCATTTTACGCACAAGCAGCTCATCATCCCATCACAAGGGATTCCATGAATAAGCCTAGAATTCTATGCTTCCAAGTTCTTACCTGAAGACATGATACATCAATCTTGACTCTTGTTTGGAGTCTGGATTGAAGAGTACTTGAGAACCCTATATCTGTTTCCTTGCACGCCATAAATAAGAACAGTGGGATATAAATGTATTACACAAACCTAAAGAATTTAGAGAGCCCCTGTCTTCCCTAAGTCCCGATGTTTTCCTAAAAAGCCCTGACAGTTTTAAACTTGGGAGATAATAATAATATATTTTTTAAATTTTATATCCCGCCCATCTTGCTGAGTTTTCCCAGCCACTCTGGGCGGCTTACAACATATATAAAAACACAACAAAGCATCAAATATTACAAAACAAAATATGCTATACAAGCAACAAACAAATCAATAAATCAACATCAACCCAACCAAAACAAAACAAAACAGAGGAACCAAAATTAGAACGTTTAAAACATTTTAAAACATTTTAACCAGTTGCCCCAACCCAAGAGTTGTTCCAGCAATGTCCCTCCGGCCTCTCAGGAGCCTCTTTTAGGAAGGACACAAAGTGGCTTCAAATCAGTGTGAAGGTAAGTACAAATATGCATCCATTAATACAAGGGAATAATATAAAAATGAAATTAAAACAACAGTGACAATGTAAATTTTAAAAATGTACTGTGTATTTTGGGTCTATGGACCGCAATAAAGTTGTGTGTGTGTGTGTGTGTGTGTAAATAAAAATACAGATCTCTCCCCGCACCCCTCACATCACCATAACCAGTTGCTCTAATAATACCCTGGGAAATTGATTCAAAAAATGCCCTAGAGAAGCTTAGTCTTTCAGATTGGCCACAAAGAAGGAAATTTGTATTTTCAAAACTTGCCAGGCCTTAATAAACTCAAGCACTGTTAAGAAGCGTCTTCTCCATTTGGCTTGTTGCTAATGAATACATTCCATGTGGGAAAGTGATTAAGAAACGCTGAATTCATCCACAGAAAACTAATGGCACATTTCATACGGCTTTAAGAAGGAATGAAGGTTAGCCCATATCCCTGCTGCCTTTACCCCATGGGAGGAGACAGGATAAGCAAAAGGGAAACATGGCAGTATTAAAATCCAAAATAAGATCCTGCACTTTGGCTTCTTGTTTATTTGCTTGAAGTCATATATGCATGTGATTCAGAGTGCAGGAATGAAGCCTGCAAATATGTAAGTGGGAAGAGCTCACTTACACTTCTTGTGCATACTAACCATTTAATCTATTTAACCTTCATACCAGTGGGACTCCTATGGCACTTCAATTTGAAAAGGGAATTCATTTTCTAAAGTTAAACAATGAAATTAGAAATAGATACACCACTGCTGTGGGCACTCAAAAAAGGATTTCCAAAATCAATCTATGGGTGCCCAGAACAACTCTGTCAATGCATGAAAAATGACATTTTAACATCTATGTTTCAGTTTCAGAGCTGCAGATAAATCTACCAATAAATGTATTTCAACATGGAAGGTTTTACATGTTTTTAAACATTTTGAAATGGTTTAAAATCTGAATAAACTAAATCTCAGCCTGAGCTTCGTGGAAAACCCAGCCAATCCTGTGACAAAGTAAGTCTTTATTAACTGAATCTGTTGGGGGGGGATGACTTGCTACAGAGCAAGTACTAATAACCTCATTATCCACTGGGGGCCCTGAAGAGAGTTGACTACTGAATTCAAACAAAGGATGCATAAAATTAAACCTAGGGCATGTAAAGCAAAAAAGCAAAAAGGTCCCCAAACAAACGTCATACTAAGCACAAATTGGATAAGGTTCACATGAGCTTATCTGGTTTCTGTGCGGGAACTTAAATAGGAGGTAAAATCAATGCGGAAACTTAACTGATACATCCTTAATCATAACATTCATTGACTTTACATTTAATGAAGCTGCACTAGGCAGGCCCTCATAGACTGGCATAAAGCATGTCTCTCCACCTCAGACAGAGTAAAACGTTTTAAAATGTTCCTGTGGCTGCCACCTGCTCTGTGATCCGAGACTTATTATATCAATTTATTGACTCGCATTAAGAAGCCTGTATGTCGAACTTGGGAGAAAGGGGAAAGGCATAAATTGGTCACTATAATTTTCAAGCTCCATGCTGTCCACATACATAATGCATCAACCACCTCTTTGTAAACCTAAGAAAAATAGATGATCCCCAAGACATAATTAGCCAAGTCTGCTTGACTTACCCATTATCCTACTCAGGGCGGCATTCCTGGTGGGCGATTCGCTGAGGCCCTCTATCCCGCTGTACAGTGAATGGGAAATCCTACGCTCCCTGTCATCCAGTATTGTTTCAATAGGCAGTTCTGGCCCTGGTGGACTCCCAGGTGATTCCAACTGTATGGAAAGGGGAGAAATAACAGTGCTGAAGGTCCATTTAACAGCATGGGAGAACAATAACAACTTGCTCTAGGCCTGGTCCTGGCTGGGCACCAAATGAGCTAGAACTCTTCACCCTGGACCACAATAATTTGCAATGACAGTGTTGCTTAATGACCAACTTTCTGTGCCACTTCACACTGTACCTCCTATGGAGCCTTGTCAGACTCCATCCCTTTTCAGCAGGAAACATGCAAAGACAAAGCACCATGTTTTGGTTTATCTGTACTGCACATATCCTTGAGCAAGCAAGCAACCTCGTATGTTTCAAAATTATCTGGCAGATGGCCTGGACCTCTTTCACAGACTGACAGCTTGTCAGGACAGGAACCATCAGAGCAGTTGTGGAGAAGTGCAGAAACAAAATAAAAAAGGATTTAACAAAAAACAAAATTCCATTTGGTATGTGATTTCTAACCACATTCTAAAAGTGGAACCATTTGCTTTCATATGCAATCATTACACAATTCCCCCAACCCCACTCAACCCAGAAAGCCCAAAGCCGTAAATATGAACATACACAAATAAATAACCTGCATATTTAAAACTGAACTCTGATCTGGAATTAACATTATTTTTGCACAGATTGCAATTAGGAACATCACTTGCATTTGGTGGTAGCGGGGAGACAGGTTCTGCATATGCACTCAAGTGCTTCTGACCCTAAGGGTAAAAGGCTTCATCTTTTCAGGGTCTAGGCAAAATCTCATCAGCTTCACTACACATGAATTTTGTCCCACTTTTTAAAGCCCCCTGCAGGCACAGTAGTGGCTTTCAAAGGCCCTTGCACCCAGCAGGGTGCCACAAATCAGCATGCTATGAAGAGTCAGAAGTTGTAAGAAGGAGAGCGATATTTATGCTTGGTATCAATGTAGCAAAAGGAAGGCGATAAAGTGGCTTCTCCCTCTGTTTTCCCTTTTCAGCTGCCTACATATGCCACACACAAAGGGCCAGTGCAGAGGTAAGATTTTAGATCTCTTAACCAATATTTTAATTCTAACTCATTCGTACTACTTGGTGACACAACACAACCTATCCATTAACCATTGCAAATGTGGACCTGGCCAGTGTTATTTATGTTTAGTGCTATCTTTCTAGGGGGAAAAGGTGCCAGAATTCACTCTTGTTCTCTTATAATGGCGCCTGAGAGGTGCCAGAACTGAGTTCCAGTGAGTTCTGGCTGAAAAAAAGCCCTGGATATGCTCATCGTGGGGCTACTCTTACAAAGGATCCAGAAACCTTGCTTCAAAATGCTGGCACCAAATTGTTGTCTACGACTAGAACATATTACCCTGGTTTTGCATATTACTCTGGCCCTTAGTAATTGTAATTGGCTACCTGTTCATTTTCATGCTCAATTCAAGGTGCTGGTTCTTACCTTTAAGTCCTAAGAAGTTTGGGATCTATTTACTTGAAGGACCACATCTTCCTTCAACCCAATCAACACAGGAAGCTGCCTTGACCCATTATCTACCTACTGCCAGGCAGTGGCTCTCCAAAGTTACAGGAAGGAAATGGTGGAGATTAAATCCAGGACTCTCTGCAAATAATGGGCTCTACTGAAGGCCCTTAAACATCCTGCTTGGGTTCCCCCACTGACTGAGATACACCACATAAGGAATGGATCCTTCTCAGTTGTGGCACCCACACTGTGGAATGCCCTCTCCATGGGAGTCTGACGGGGCCCTTCTTTATTTTCATGCTGCTGCCTTTATAAGACCTTCTTGTTTGAGGAATCCCTAAGGGGAGGCTGCTGGGCTGTTCTTCCTGGCCCCCACTTGCTGCTATGACAGGAGCAGGGGAAGGGGGAAGGCACCCCTCTTCTTCCAAAGTGTTTTTGGAACTGCTCTCTTTGATCTGTTTTAATGGTACTTCACTGACATCTTGATCATTTGTCTGTTGTAAGCAATTTTTATCTACTATTAGATGCTTTGATTTAGTTTTTCTCTGGAAAAGGAATTTTAGCAAGCATTCTTAACTCACAATGTTTCACCACATACTTAAGGATATTAAATACAGATTAATTATCCCTCCTCAAGATCCTCTATTCACCTAAACAGCCACGGGTGGTAAAATCAAGATGGTCGGTTCCCACTATTTCTATGCATGCTAATAGATAAAGTTGGGATTCTAATTCACTTCAGTGAGTGAGACTGGACTCAAGCGGTAGCAACTTCTAATTAATGTGAACTACAAAGGTCTGACCTTGTGCATGTGGTATTTACAGGATAGATTTCTGCAATCGACCCAAAGGCATTGTGCCATGTTATTTAGGGGATCCCATAGTACCAGTATGATGGATACAGGAGGGATTTGTAAAACTTGCAGTACTTCAAAGTGGGTGAAACATAATCAGAGGAGAGACTGTATAAAGTATTATTTCTGTTCAAAGCTATCGTCTTTTTAATATAAATGAGATATTTAATGAAGTTCTGAATTGTAGCCTTATCTTTCCCAGTTTGATCAGCACTAGGGAGATTTACTGCATAGAAGGGTCAACACAATTACCATTGGAGGCACGTCAGGCTGCAGGAGAATAATAAACTTGCCATGCAAGTGAATTAGGCTCAATAAGGTTTAAATTGTGAATCGAGGATTTGTTTTATTCAGGTTCCCCCCCTCCTAAAATTGCAGATTACTACTGACAGTTCCACTGAAAAATAAATTAAACAATATTCAAAGCCTCTGATGTAAAGGAATCAAAGGCAAATTTAAGAAGAATAAAAATGTTAAAATTCTGAAATGCTATTAAAAAGGAAAGAGAAAGAGGGACTGAATCCAGGGACTGAAAGTTGCATGCCAAGTGTATTCGCACAAATGAACTGTACTTTGTTTTAACTTTCTTCAAACAAAGGGTGAAAATTACTCTAAATGACTAACATGACTTATTTTCCCAGGGAGATAGGACTGTATCTTCAAGTTTATATAACAAATGTCTAGTTCTTTATTGAACCACATAATATAACCATTTCTCAAGGGACAATGCATATCTAGACACTATCGAGCTCAGAGTAGATTTCCCCCCTCTATTCTTTTCAAAAAGAGGCACAGAGAAAGAGGCAGCTTCGGAACCTAGGGAGAGGAATAGGCATTCGCTCCAGGTGAACTGCTAAGCAGCAGATTACAGAGAGGGGTAAACAACAGCACTGTTGCTTAATGGCTGCACTCTGAAAAGAGTGCTGGCATGTCTTACCACTTTCATGGGGAAAAAGACTTTATTCAGTGACAAATTAGCATATCAAAAGCCAGATTTAAATCAAGACATCAACAGTCAGCCACACAAATATTTAACTAAAGATACAATGCCTTTTATAAACTTGCAAAAAAACAACAACAACCCAACAAAAGTTTTTTTGTAAAGGGGAGGAGAAGATTGCACAAAAAGCCCTTTTAAAAACACTTTTGTTGGTTCTTCTGCAAGAAGGTTTGCATAAAGAAAATGTGTCAAAGCAAGGGCGAGTTTTGCTGACAGGAAGAGAACAGAAAGGGGTGGGAAAGGTGCAGAACCAAGGTCTATTCTGTCATTTATCTCAGCCTTTGCCCAAGCACTGGCTGGGACTGATGGGAGTTGTAGTCCAGAACATATGGGAGAGCCCAGGCTGCTTTATCTACTTTGACAACTTTATGCCTGGGCCTCAGACCATCAGACCTTACTTTGTGTTCACAGTGGTTAATGACATGAGCTATGAGTCCAATGTCTCCAGTTCAAATCTCAGCACACCGAAGAACCATCTCACCTTTCCACACACCTCCGAAACATGATGATAATGATGTTACAGATTTGAGTTTAGGGGTGCAAGGGCACCCATAACTGCTAGAATTAGTGAATGTTAGATATTAGTAAGGTGGTGGGAGCCATTGAAGGGAAGATGCAAGGCACTGCAAAAAATATACGATGCTAAGCTCTCTTTCCAGGCCAGGACAGAAGAAGCTGTTAAGCATGACAAAAAGCGTTGATGGCCCATCACAGGGAAATCCTTGGGATTGTGTCAAAGGAGGTTGCCAATGTTATGCTGAGAGATGGCATAGGTTACAGGAAAATGGTCATCTTTTAAAACTAGGCTTGGAATAGCAGGTAGGAGCGGGGTGAACAGGTAGAAGGGGGGAGTTGCCTGGCAAGGGGGTTCTGGGAAAGAAAAGCAGGAAATAGGTAGAACTCCATGCAGGGGCTGAAGGGCAGACCATCTTGGTGGGCTAGCTGAAGGCAGGCTGGGACAGAGACACAGAGATGTACAGTAGTGGAATCCAAAGCTGCACTGCTGTGAGGAACAAGCCCCTTTTGAGATGTGAATGCTATAAACTGTGCACTTCCTGCATTGAAAGCTTCTGGTGCAAATATGTGTGGGATAAACCATATTTATTAAGAACTTGATTCCCAACAGAAGCATAACCCTGGAATCTTGCTACTGCTTGGCAGAGACTGGGTATGGTGGGCAACTTTTGTAACAATATATTTAAATCGAATCTTGCATGGATTATTGCAAGTATTACTGAGATATGTATGAAAACATTGGCTTCATGTTATTTATCTACCCCGGCATCGTATGTGGTGGATAGCTGCTCATGATGGGAAAGAATCTCTCAGGCAAGGCAAGGCTCCAGCCTAGGCAACCATCTCTCCAAACACCCATGACACAACTTCCTCTACTAGTGAGGACATCTGCTTCAAGTAGAAAAATTCCTTCCAGTAGCACCTTAAAGACCAACTAAGTTAGTTCTTGGTATGAGCTTTCATGTGCATGCACATGCACACGAAAGCTCATACCAAGAACTAACTTAGTTGGTCTTTAATGTGCTACTGGAAGGAATTTTTTTTTGTTTGACTATGGCAGACCCAACACGGCTACCTATCTGTAACTGCTTCAAGTAGGACAGACTTCCCTGTTAGACAAGGCATATGCATGCTAATTACAAACCGAGGGAGTAGCTTAGGCAGGAAGGGAGGGGATGGGGACAAG